AAGTAGGATCCTGGGCAGCCCCACCATGACCTTGTTAGTCAGACAAAAACTCAGGAGCTTTTGTACCTTGATATTCTTTGGGAAAGGTGCATGAATTCCTTTCATGAATAAGATTTCGGACTTGTGTCCACTTGTGTCCACTGTGTCCAATCTACACTGTAGACACTCAAATATGAGAGAAAAGAAACACAGATGAGAAGAGTTGGAGTCATCAGAGCACAGATCACTGACAAAACAACATCATCAGATATATGGTAGTTGGGGATCATTCTACAAAAGATCTGACCCGTTCTGCTCCAAAGCACAAAAGTCACAGAAAACAAGTTAAGACTGAGTAACCCTGTCACCCAATTGGAGCCTCGTGGGATAGACAGTAAAATTTCAAGTAGTACCTAGATGGAATTCTGGAAGAGAGAAAGAATGTTAGGTCAAAACTTAAGAAAATATGAATGATGGGGCTGGAGCGATAGCACAGCAGGTAGGGCGCTTGCCTTGCACGCGGCCGACCCAGGTTCAATTCCCAGCATCCCATGTGGTCCCCTGAGCACCACAAGGAGCAATTCCTGAGTGCAGATCCAGGAGTAACCCTTGTGCATTTCTGGGTGTGACCCAAAAAGCAAAAAAGAAAAAATATGAATGAATAGGTAGTTTGGTGAATAGTAATGTATCAATATCGGTTTGTGACTTGAAACACAGCTATCATATGCATAGATGTTAGAGGAAGCTGGGTTCTGGTAGGTAGGAACTCTGCACCATCATTGCCATATGCTGGGAAGTCTAAAAGTATTCTACAGCAAGAAGTTGATTTTAAAACATGTTATCCTTAGAGCACTGACTTAAAGGGTTGGCATGGGAGGTAAAGGAGCTAGATAATGAGAAAGAAGTCTTTACCAAAGGGATAGCACGTTCCCTAGATGTGAAACAAAAGAATGCCCTTGACCCCTCATCTGTGCTGTATTTCCTGGTGATGCCCCCAAAGACCCCCCATGTAGCCTTTCCTCCGAGATGATCTAGACTGGTCTCATTCTATTATTTCTCCTCTACTGAGAGGACCTTGACGCATCATCCCAGGATTGTAACTGAGCATTTGAACTTGAACTGATGTTCTGTGAATCACATTCATTTCATTTCTCGGTTAAGTGAGCACCATATCACACATAATAATGGTGCATATATGGTGGCGGCCCTTGGGTAAATCAATCTCCCAAATGCTTCCCATTGGAGGAATTATCTCGTAGATTTCTTTCAAAATGGTTGTGCAGCATACAAGGTCCCCTCTCTGTCTCGGGAATGAGAGCGCAGGGAACTTGATGGAATGTGACCCAGAGCAATAGGTCCTCATTAGTTGTGTCTGGGGCCCAAATAGACTGAAGGTGTGTGAGTGAAAATGTTTTCTTGCAACATTGAATGGGGAGCATCTTTCTGAAGAGGGGCACTGGGTAAGTTGGATCTGGGCTGAGGAATGTCTCAAAGAGAACTTATCCTGCTGAGGACATTGTTGGTTTTATTGGATCTTCCTATGGTCATGTGTGTGCCAAAGGAATTATACATATATACATACCTTTGTGTATAAAATATTTAATGTACATGAGAGTATATATTCATACATAGATATGCATACATATTACATATATATGCATATATTCATGTATTTAACTCTAAAGCTATGTGCATATATTCATATATCTAACTATAAATCTTTTCCATGTATATACACATGTAAATATATAGAGATATAGCTCTATACTTTTTCTCTCAATCGGAAATGGCAGAATTTAAAGCTTATAACCCAGACTTTATCCACTCTTCACTCTACCTGTCACTTTATTTTTCTCAGATGCAAAGCTTGAACTTGCCTTCCACATGGACCTATATTTCTCCTCTTTAACTGGATAGATTTCTGGAAAGTTTAACTCAGAGAGACACAGGGTGGCCAGGTCTGGACCATTGTCCTAATCAGGAAGATGAAAATAACATTTAAGAAAAACTCAGTCACCCATGTCTGTTGAATAATTCTGAATTGCTGCCCTGGGACTGGATTTCAATCTGTGTGAGTGCTTCTTGATGCCTGGAAGGCAGAGCAAATTGGCTATCTGAGTCTGCCAGAATGTGCTCCCCGTGGGTCTGAGTGGGGAGAAGGAGCCGGGCATCATGCAAAGGAAAGCCTCGCTCCTTTTCTCCTTTTTTTGGTGAAGAATTCTGGTCAGACCCACTCACATTAAGTAACTACACTCTGCCCCGGAGGAAGTGCAGGGCTTGGAAGAAATGATCCCCAAGCAAGTATTTTTTAATGGAATAGTAAGTATTCTGCATAATAAACTAAAAGGCTGTCCCAAGTGGAGAGGAGCCTTTCTACAGACTCGTATCTTTTCTTTAATGGCGAGTTTAGCATTTCCCCAGGGCAGGCTCAGAATGGGAAGGACCTGGGATGGAGGGAGCAAAGATACAGGAAAAAAGGCTCCCGCAGGACCATGGTCCACTGTGGCGTCAGCTCTTTAGCCAGGCTAATGTTTGAGCTTTATTTCCAGAAAACAAACAAACCAAAACAACAAACCTACAGACCTTCATTAAGACATGCGTTAATTAAGAAATTTGCAATAACACCCAATAGGGGAGAGAGAATAAAAGGGAATGTGCCTGTTACAGAGGCGGAGGGTGGAGGCGATGGGGTGGGGGTGGCGGGAGGGTTACTGGGAACATTGGGGGTTGAGAATGGGCACTGGTGGAGGAATGGCTGCTCAATCATTGTATGACTGAAACATAATCAGGAAAGTTTGTAAGTCTGTAACTGTATCTCACGGTGATTCATTAAATAAATATAAAAGAAATTTGCAATTAGAGCCAGAGCGAAAGTACAGCTGGTAGGGTGTTTGCCTTGCATGTGATCGACCTGGGCTCATTCCCCATCCAGCATCCCATATGGTCCCCCAAGCACCGCCAGGAGTAATTCCTGACTGTAGAGCCAGGAGTAACCCCTGAACTTCACTGGGTTTGACCCAAAAAGAAAAAGAAAGAAAGAAATATTCAAAATTTGTGATTTTGCAATTCAAAATTTCTACAGAAGCTCTGTAGACCTTGGGCCCCACCAAAGGGCCCATCATGTTTGTGCAGAGGTTCCTGGGTGCCTTGCCGTGTCCATTCCCTTAGGTGTGTCCAGAGTGGGGGAGTTGCCTAGAGGACCACAGGCCCACCCTGCCTCAGATATTGACAAGGAACCTTTGGCAGGAAAAGCTTGCTGACCCCTGCTCCAAAATGTCTCAATCCACAGGAACTGGGGGGCATAGGTGTCTCCATAACCTTATCCTCACCTTGATGAGGGGCTGGTCTTGGCATGTGAGGTCATCGGGGCAGCCATTGTCAAATCCCTGTCTCCTGGCCCTGTAGACGGTGAGGGACAGTGAGTGCATTGAGGCATTGAGCCAGGGGCTCAGAATGGCTGATAATTCTATGAATATGGGATGGCATCGGGATAGCTGGAAGCTCTCACCATCCATCGCTGCTGCTGGGAAATGAGTGATGTCCTCAGAAAGGGGATCTTTGAGACCCCTCCAGTGGTGACTGCCCTGTGGTGCTTTAGGAGGCAGGACAGAGCCCCCGTGTCCTGCCTGATAGTGAGCCGTCATCATCCCCTTGAGCGCCCTCTGACCTCCAGACTCTCTCTCCCACAGCTCTCAAAGCGAGCAAACATTTGCCTGAGTCATGCCAGCCTCCCCAGCCCACTTGTGTGCTCTTGGTACCCTGTTCCCTAGCCATGGCAGCCTGGATGCCAAGCAAATATATGGGCGGTCTCCAGCTTCCACGCATTTGCCTTTCTCTCTCTTTTCTCTGCTGGGAACCCCCTTGCCATGGCTTTTACTTTCTGTTACACTTTGGGACATCTCGCTTCCCTCCAGGTCCCAGCCTACACCATAGGGTCTCTGATTTCTCAGGACCTCTCCGTCTAGGAACCCCATTTCCTCCAAGTAACTATTCCTCAGCTTGTGTGTCATGACATAGGTTTTTCTGTCTTTGCCAAGCACGAGACACCAAATATGCATGGATTGTCTTTTCTTTAAGAAAACCACTATGTCAGGACCGGAGCAATAGTACAGCAGGGAGGGTATCTGTCTTGCATGTGGCTGACCTGGGTTCCATCCCCGAATCCCATATGGTCCCCCAAGCACCGTGAGGAGTAATTTCTGAGTGCAGAGCCAGGAGTAACCCCCGAGTATCACCGGGTGTGACCCAAAAACAAAACAAAACAAAAATAGAAAAAAGGAAAAAAAAAGAAAACCACTGTGGTATTTGCCTTACTTCCACTATAACTTTTTACTGAAACTATCCAGGTTGAAAGGGAGAGAGTTAACTCATTTCTCATATTCCCCCCTAGCATCCAGCTGCCTGATATTCCGTCTTATATAGGTGTGTGTATAAGACACACGTACAATAATTTGTTGAAGAATCCCCATGCTAACAAGACTTCAGATTTTTCTCGGTGTCTGTGGACTTTGCCTCCACTTTACAAACAATGCTAGAGAACAGAGTTCTGAACAAATACCCTCGAATTCCAATGCTTCCATTTCTCAAGGCTCAACTCTCGAAGTGGGATTGTTTGCTCTACACATTCATGCATGTTAAATTCAATCTACAGTGCCAGAGCCCTTTCTGCAGATATTTCCATCCATCTAGGAAACGCCTTCCTTCTGTCTTCTTTGCATGGTCCTTTTGTCCTTTACATGCTGGCAAACTTCTCCACAAAGCTGGTGGCTTCTCTCGGCTTCTTCTCTGACTTGCATGTCCTCGACTAGGACAGGTTAAAAGGTAAAGGTAAAGGCCCTCCCGTTGATCGTCGATTTGCTCGAGCGGGCCCAGTAACGTCTCCATTGGAGACTTTGCTGTTACTGTGTCTGGCATATCCAATACTCTCGGTAGCTTGCCGGGCTCTCCGAGAGGGGCGGAGGAATCGAACACGGGTCAGCCATGTTGGCCGCTTGTAAGGCGAACGCCCTACCGCTGTGCTATCGCTCCAGCCCTCAGCAGCACATATACTAAAATTGGAACAATACAGAGAAGATTAGCATGGCCCCTGCGCAAGGACAGGTTAATCATCTTTTATTAAAAATATTTTTTTGGCATTTTTAAAAATTTTTATTAGTGAAACGGGCTGGAGCCTGTTACTTATCTCAGCTATTCTTGGGTGTTAGTCTCCTATTTTGTTACTTTATGTTCCCCAAATTAATGCAATCCTTCTATGTCTGTCCCTCTCTTTCTGATTCATTTCGCTTAGCATGACACTTTCCATGTAGTACCACTTGTATATAAGTTTCATGACTTCATCTTTTCTAAGAGCTGCATAGTACTCCATTGTGTAGATGTACCAAAGTTTCTTTAACCAGTCATCTGTTCTTGAGCACTCAGGTTTTTTCCAAATTCTAGCTATTGTAAACAGTGCTGCAATGAACAAACAAGTGCAGATGTCACCTCGACTATACTTTTTTGCCTCTCTGGGATATATTCCCAGGAGTGGTATTGCTGGGTCAAATGGGAGCTCAATTTCTAATTTTTTGAGAATCATCCATATTGTTTCCAACAGGGCTGAACCAGTCGGCATTCCCACCAGCAGTGAAGGAGAGTCCCTTTCTCGCCACACCCTTGCCAACACTGGCTGCTTTTTTTCTTGTGGATGTGGGCCAGTCTCTGTGGTGTGAAATGATATCTCATTGTGGTTTTGATCTGCAGCTCCCTCATGATTAATGATGTAGAGCATTTTCTCATGTGCCTTTTAGCCATTTGGATTTCTTCTTTGGGAAAGTTTCTGTTCATTTTGTTGCCCCAATTTTTGATGGGGTTGGGTGTTTTCTTCTTGTGGAGTTCAACCAGTATTTTATATATCCTTGATATCAACCCCTTGTCAGCTGTGTATTGGGTGAATATCCTTTCCCCTTCTGTAGACTGTCTTTGTATTTTGGTCACTGCTTCTTTGGAGGTGCAGAAGCTTCTTAGTTTAAGATAGTCCCATTTGTCTATCTCTGTTTTCACTTGCTTGGACAGTGGTGTGACATCTTTGAAGATACCATTAGTTTCAATGTCATGGAGGGTTTTGCCAACTTTATCTTCAATGTACCTTATGGATTCCGGTCTGATGTTGAAATCCTCAATCCATTTCAATCTTACTTTTTTACATGGTGTTAGGCAGAGATCTGAGCCCATATTTTGCATGTAACTGTCCAGTTTTGCAAGCACAATTTGTTAAAAAGGCTTTCCTTGCTCCACTTCACATTTCTTGCTCCCTTATCAAAGATTAGATGATCATATGTTTGGGGGGAGATGTCAGTATATTCAACCCTGTTCCATTGGTCTGCAGCTCTGTCTTTGTTCCAGTACCAAGCTGTTATAATTATCACTGCTTTGTAGTAGAGTTTGAAGTTAGGGAGGTTGATTCCTCCCATTTTCTTTTTCCCAAGAATTGCTTTAGCTATTCGTGGGGGCTTATTGTTCCATATGAATTTCAGGAGTGTTTGCTCCATTTCTTTAAAGAATGTCATGGGCATTGTTATAGGGATTGTATTGAATTTGTACAATGCTTTGGGAAGTATTGCCATTTTTACAATGTTAATTCTCCTGATCCATGAGCAAGGGATATTGTTCCATTCTCACTTGTCCTCTTTTATTTCTTGAAGTAGCGTTTTGTAGTTTTCTTTGTACAGGTCCTTTACTTCCTTAGTTAAACTAATTCCTAGGTAGTTGACTTTCTGGGGCACAATTGTGAACGGGATTTTTTTTTATATCACTTTCTTCTCTCTCACTATTTGCGTATAGGAAAGCCATGGACTTTTGGATATTGATTTTTATAGCCTGAAACTTTACTATACAAGTCTATTGTTTTACGAGTTTATTGGTAGCGGTTTTAGGGTTCTCTAAGTATAGTATCATATCATCTGCGAATAGTAAGAGCTTGATTTCTTCCTTTCCTACCTGGATGCCCTTAATATCTTTTTCTTGCCTAATCGCTATTGCAAGTACTTCTAGTACTATATTGAACAGCAGTGGAGAGAGTGGGCATCCTTGTCCCGCCCCTGATCTTAGGGGGAAAGCTCTCAGTTTTTTCCCATTGAGGATGATGCTTGCTGTAGGCTTGTGGTAGATGGCTTTTGAGAGAAGTTCCCTCTATACCAATTTTGGCGGGGGTTTTGGATCTTGCCAAATGCTTTCTCTGCATCTATTGATATGTAATATGGTTTTTATCTTTTCTTTTGTTGATATGATGGATTATGCTGATTGATTTCCGAATGTTAAACAATCCTTGCATCCCCGGGATAAGTCCCACTTGGTCATCTTTTTGATGAGTTGTTGAATTCTATTTGCTAGTATTTTGTTGAAGAATCTTCGCATCTGTCCTCATCAGGGATATCGGCCTGTAGTTTTCTTTTCTTGTGGTGTCTTTGTTTCCTTTTGGTATTAGAGAGATATGGGTTTCATAGAAACTGTTTGGGAGAGTTTCTGTTTCTTCAATTTCCTGGAAAATCTTGAGAAAACTGGCAATAGTCCTCTTTAAATGTTTGGAAGAATTCATTAGTGAATCCATCTGGACTGGGGCTTTTGTTTTTGGGAAGACTTTTGATTACAGTTTCAATTTCCCTGATGTTAATAGGTCTATTTAGGTACTCTAGATCTTCTTGATTCAGTCTTGGGAGATGATACGAATCCAGGAATTTATCCATTTCTTCTAGGTTCTCTCGATTGGTGGCATACAGACTTTCAAAGTAATTTCTGATTATCTTTTGCACTTCTTTGTTTTCTGTACTGATATCCCCCTTCTCATTTCTGATTCGGTTCATTAGGGTTCTCTCTCTCTCTCTCTCTCTCTCTCTCTCTCTCTCTCTTTGTAAGTGTTGCTAGTGGTTTATCTATCTTATTTATTTTCTCGAAGAACCAGCTCTTGGTTTCATTGATCTTTCGGATTGTTTTTTGGTTTCCATGTCGTTGATTTCTGCTCTAAGTTTTATGATCTCTTTTCCTCTTCCTGATTTGGGCTCCTTTTGTTGATCTTTTTCTAAGATCTTGAGCTTTGAAGTCAATTTGTTTATTTGGGCCCTTTCTTCCTTCCTGAGAAATGCTTGCAGAGCTATAAATTTCCCCTTAACACGGCTTTAGCTGAATCCCATAAGTTCTGGTAACTTGTGTCTTCGTTCTCATTTGCTTCCAGGTATCTTTTGATTTCGTCCTTGACTTCCTTCCTGATCCACTCATTGTTCCACATTGAGTTGTTTAATTTCCAGGTGTTTGATTTGGTTCTCCGTGTCTCTGTGTGCTTTACTTCTATCGTCAGTGCATCATGGTCTGAAAAGATTGTTGATCCTATTTTATCTTCCTGAGTCTATTGAGGTATGATTTGTGTTCTAGCACATGGTCTATTTTGGAAAATGTTTTGTGTGCACTGGAGTAGAATGTGTATTCTTTTTTGGGGGGTGTAAGACCCTGTATAGGTCTATAAGCCCTTTTTCTTCTATTTCTTCTTTCATGCCAATGTTTCCTTGCTGAGTTTTGTTCTTGTTGATCTATCCAGAGGTGATAAGGCGATGTTGAAGTCTCCAGCTACTATTGTGTTGCTAGCAATGTCCTCCTTAAAATCTATTAGCAGTTGTTTTAAATATTTAGCTGTTCCCTCATTAGGTGCGTATACATTTAAGAGTGTGATTTCTTCCTGTTGTACGTATCCATTGATGAATAGAAAATAGCCTTCGCTGTCCCTTCTAATCTTTTTCAACCTGAAATTAATGTTATGGATACTTGTATGGCCACCCCAGCTTTTTTTGAGGGAGCTGCTTGCATGCAGGATTGTTTTCCATCCTTTAACTTTGAGTCTGTGTTTGTTCTGACTGTGAGATTAGTTTCTTGTAGGCAGCAGAATGTTGGTTTCTGTCTCTGAATTCATTTTGCCACTCTGTGTCCTTAGTTGGTGAATTTAGAACGTTGATGTTAAGAGAGATTATTGTTATGGGGTTTTGTGTCATCTTCCTGTAAGGGTCTGTTGTGCTTGTAGGGTTTGTCTTGTCTTATAGTCGCCCCTTTAGCCCTTCTTTTAGGTTTGGTTTTGAGTCTATGAAGTTCCTGAGCTGCTGTATATCTAGAAAATAGTGTACCGTTCCTTCGAGTTTGAGTGAGAGTGTAGCCAGATAGAGTATTCTTGATGAAGCATTCATTTCAGTGAGTTTTTTCACTATATCCCACCATTGCCTTCAGTCTTGGAGGGTTTCCTCTGATAGGTCTGCTGTGAATTTAAGGGGTGCTCCTTTGTATGTGAGTTTGTTCTTTGACATTGCTGCTTGCAGTATTGAGTCGCTATCGGTGGCATCAATCATTCTAACTATGATATGTCTTGGGGTGTTTTTGTTAGGGTCTCTTTTTGCTGGGACCTTTCTGGCTCCTTGAATCTGAATGGCTGCATTTTCCAGCTCTGGGAGTTTTTCAGCAATGATTTGGTTTTTTTTTTTTTTTTTTTTTTTTTTTTTTTTTTTTTGCTTTTTGGGTCACACCTGGCGATGCTCAGGGGTTACTCCTGGCTCATACACTCAGGAATCACTCCTGGCCGTGCTCGGGGGACCATATGGGATGCTGGGAATCGAACCTGTGTTGGCCATGTTGGCTGCGTGCAAGGCTAACGCCTTACCCGCTGTGCTATCGCTCCAGCCCCAGTAATGATTTGTTTAACCGTGGCCTTTTCATTGGGATTGTTTTCCTGAGCTTCTGGTACTCCAATGATTCTAATGTTCTTCTTGGAATCATCTTTTAGGACTCTGATTCGCTTTAGAGCTATTTTGATGTCTCTTGCCATTGTTTGTTGTTGCCTGTTGGCTTGGTGCAGCTGATCTTCCAGCTCACTGATTCTGTCTTCAGGTGTGGTCATTCTACTGTTGAGTGCACAGACTGAGTTTTTTATTTCATCTATAGAATCTTTTATTCGTGACATTTCTGCTATCATTCCTTCCCCTAATTTCTTGATTGTTTCTGTCATGTTACTGGATATCTTTCTGATTGTTTCATTGAGTTCATTGAACATCTTCATGACTTCATATCTAAATTCTTTCTCAGAGAGGTCCTTTAGGTGAGTAGCGCCAACTAAGGCTTCTGGACTCTTCTCATCTTCATCCCCACTTGCTGGGGATTTGCTTTGTTTCTTCATGTTTTTGTGTAGGTATGGGAATTGAGATGTTACACTAGATTTCTTGGTATGAGTAAACTACCTGAGGCGTGAGCAGCTGCCCACCTAAAATCAGGCCACTCCCACTTCTACAAAAGCCACGCCCACTTTCGAAGAGGCAGGGCCCCAAGGGAACCTGGTGTATATGTGTGTGTGTTGGGGGGGGGGCCTGTTAGCTGGGAGGGGAAGAAGACTGGCACTTTGTTGGGGACGAGAGTAAGAGGCTCAGGGTTGCTTTTGTCCCAGGGTCCTAGAGGATGCCTGTGGTGCTGCACGGAGAAAGCCAAGTCCCGGGTTTGAATACTGGCGGGTTAACTGACCTGGGAGGGGAAGAAGACCCTATTAAAAATAAGTTTGAAACCATGCTCAAACACTCTCACACAAAGACACTTCCATACTTACACCATTTAAAACTTTTTTTTAATTTTTTTTTTTTTTTTTTTTTTTGGTTTGGGGGCCTGGAGCGATAGCACAGCGGGTAGGGCGTTCGCCTTACAAGCGGCCAACATGGCCGACCCGAGTTCGATTCCTCCGCCCCTCTCGGAGAGCCCGGCAAGCTACCGAGAGTATTCGATATGCCAGACACAGTAACAACAAAGTCTCCAATGGAGACGTTACTGGGCCCGCTCGAGCAAATCGACGATCAACGGGAGGGCCTTTACCTTTACCTTTTGGTTTGGGGGCCATGCCCACAATGCTCATGGGTTACTCCTGGAAATATCCGTGTACAGACACGGGTATTTCTCCTGGTGGTTCTTGTTGGGGTGGGGGAGTCGGGGGGCATTTGGGATGCTGGGGATCCAACCCAGGTTGGCCATGTCCAGGGGACTGCCTTCTGTGCTGTACTATCTCTCTGGCCCACTAATGCATATATTGTTTCTGTAACAAAAGAAGCCCCAACTCAGCCAAAAAACAAAGCACAGGCATGTTCCTTGTTTGGGACATTTGTGGTAACCGGGGGCTGCAGGATCAATTACCAAGTCTGTGAGTTGGTTCGTGAAACCACCTCTAGGTGCCCATGGAGAGCTGTGGGCACTCAAGCACGTGGAGCAGGAGTCTGTCTTAGTTCTCTTCCCTCCTCGCCCTCTCCCCTGCTCATTTAAGGGAAAGGAAGTTCTGGAGATGGACCGTGCCCTCCGCCCACCTTCCTTAGTCCCATGTTCCAGAGGCAGCTGTGCATGCTCTGCTGCTCATGCTCTAAGATTCAGGGGTCCAGAGAGGTAACAGGAGGGGTGGTGAGAGGGAGATTCTGTCTCCTCTATGACTAATGCCCTCTGTCTCTTCTCTTCCAGACCCCACCCAGATGAACAACGCAGTCCCCACCTCCCCTCTCCTCCAGCAGATGGGTCACCCCCACTCCTACCCCAATCTGGGGCAGATCTCCAACCCTTACGAGCAGCAGCCACCCGGCAAAGAGCTGAACAAGTACGCCTCCTTGAAAGCAGTGGGTAAGTAACCCCTGCTCCCCCTCCCCGCGGCTCTCTTCCTTTCAGCCCTTTCTCTCCAATGTCTTTCTCCACTCCTTTCTCTGTTTCTCCCTCCTTCTTTGCTTCCTCTTCTTTCTCCTCATCTTCCGTCTCTTTCTTCTTTGTCTCCTTGTTTCTCTCTTTTCTCTTTCTTCCTCTCCTCCTTCCTCCTCTTCCCCTTGTCCTTTGCCTTTTCTTATTCTTTTTGCTCCTTTTCTCCTCGTCTCCCTCCTCCTCCTCATTCTCTTTCTCCTCCCCTCCTCCTCCCTCTTGTATTCCTTTTCCTTCCTCTTCTCCTCTTCTTCCTTTCCTTTTCCAGTCCTCCTACTCTTCCTTTCCTTCCTCCTCTTCCTTGATTTCTCCTCCTTATTCCTCTCCTTATTCATGTCCTGCTCCTGTTCTTTCTCTTTTGTCTTCTCCCATTCCTCCCCTTCCTCATTTTCTTCTTCCTCTTCTTATTCTCCTCTTTGTCCTTCTCATTATCCTTCTTCTTTTCCTCCTCCTTTCTCCTCTTCACTATGTAGATATCTCATCTCTATATAACATATATCACATGTGTTTATGAGCTCTGTTTATTCTGAGTACCTCTCTCTGGAATACAGAATAATTCTAGAGACCCTCCATTGCTTTCCTTATGCCCAGATCAAGTGACCATGTGTGTGGTAGGGTGGGTGGTGAGGGGCATTTTGAAAGGGGATGCTATGTTTTGGGGAGGACCTGGATGCCCATTGGGTCCCTCAATCCTTTTCACATCCACCTTCTTCCCAGGTAAATTAATCTCTAGAATCATGGATCCTAGACCTAGAATTCAAGTCCCTCAGTCTCCCACGTATTGCCCCTTCAAAGCTCATCCTCCACTTCCACACAGCGCAGCCCTCTCTGGGAAGTCAGCACTCAAACTTATTCCTATCTCAGGCAGCTTCTGCTTTGCAGGGTGGAAATGATTCTTCGGGTGAGCAGCTTGGGTCCCTTAATAATTAAGTTCTCACACAGTGCAAGACATTGCATCAGATGCTACATATATTCTCTCCTATTATTTCACTGCTGTGAAAGCACAGGTTCTTGTCCTGATTTTCAGACTGGGAATCTGACACTCTTAGGAGGTTGATTTAACTTGCCTCCAATCCAAGCAACCTGTGAGCAGCAGAGCTGAGACTGGAGCCTGTTTCTTTAATCACTGTCCCCCTGATAGTTCCTCCCATAGCCTTGGTTCTTCTCCCCCCCCCCCAGTCTCCTTCCCAGGACATGAGGGAATGTCACAGTGACCCTACCTGTACCCAAGTTGACAGCAGCACGCTCATGGAAAAGTTCTATTAGACAGAGGCAGCAGCACTGCAAAGTGGGTGGATCCTGATTGGCCGTGGCTACCTCAGGAGTCCTTGAGCCAATAGTTCTCTGTGGTAGATGTGGAGGATTTGCATCACCTCAAGTCGAAAAATGCCAATGCCCCATCCCACCTTAGAGAGTTTGATAGAATTGGACAAGTGGGGGTTCTAGACAGGCCCATCAGAATTTTCTAGATGATCACATGTGAAGCTGAGGCCAAGAGTCGTGGAGGAAAATCATGGCATCAGTCCCAAATTTGGGACAATAAAATCCCATCTCAAATGCTTGCTTCTGAACCCCCTCTTGGTCATCAAGGGACTTACTCTCCCTTTTTCTGAAGTGCTCTTGCAGAGGGGGATTCCTTTCTCCCATGGTGTCCTGTGAGTTCTGCTTCTCTTCCTTGTCTCAGAGGCAATGTCGTCAAACCTGAGTTTCTATGTACAATGCCTCATTCCTGAGCATTGTGAAAGATGCATTTTTGGAAAGCTTTCCTGAGCTTATTTGAAAAGAGCTGGGAAGAGCCAGACCAATCTGGATTCATACCTTACTTGTTCGCAGAATCGGACAACACAGAACTTTTCTCTTTTCCTTTAGCCAGTAGACACAGTCGCTCATGCATCCTAGGACAGACCAGAAAAGAATATTCCTCCCATCAACAAGCCCCCTCCTCCTCTACTGCTCCTACCATCCCTGAATGGACCCTTTTCTGACTGCCAGCTCAAAGCATGCTCAGGTCCCCCAGAAAGATCTTCTTTTTAAGTGTCTTCACAACTTCTCTCTCCAGTGTGGAGTGAGTGATCTCATTCCTGGTAGAGATGTCAAAGCCCCAGCATTGGAAAACAATTCCATGGGCCAAGATGCCCTTAATCACACGTGATCATCTTTCTGCTTTTGTTTCTTAGAGCACGACAGCCCTAGTCCTGCTGGCTTCTGGAAAACCCTGGACAGCAGGAGACCCCAGACCTTAGCCTCCCCTTATTACCCATTTTCCATCTCCTAATCTGCCTCCCCAAGCCCTTTCACTACAGTTAGGAGGGGACACATTCACAGATCAATTTAAGCATGAGAAAATAGGGCTTCAGGGCTCGAGTGATAGCAATTTGTAGGGCATTTGCCTTGCCTGTGGCCAACCCAGGTCGATTCCTCCATCTTTCTTGGAGAGACTGGCAAGCTACCTAGAGTATCCCACCCGCACAGTAGAACCTGGCAAGCTCCCCGTGGGTATTCGATATGCCAAAAAGAGTAACAAGTCTCACAATGGAGACGTTACTGGTGCCCACTCGAGCAAATCAATGAACAAATGGGAGTGCTACAGGGTTTCCATTCTGAACTCAGCCAAGAAACCAAAGCAGAAACATGTTCCATGTTTGGGACATTTGTGGTAACCGGGGGCTGCAGAATCAATCACCAAGTCAGTGAGTTTGATTCATAAAACAACTTCTAGGTGCCCAGTGGACAGGTTGCCCACACCTGGAGCCTGGTTAGTTCTGGGAGCATATAAAATCTATCTTTAGGAATTCTTCTCCAAGGACACCCAGACAGAAACATTCTGAGAGAGAGGTTGCAGCAGATTGCAGAGAGGAAAAAAAAAAAGACACTGTCGCTGCAGGTTGTAGACTGCACTCACACTTGGCATGTTGAATTTTAACCCCCTGCTCCACCCTCATCTACACCCGGGGCTCACTTGGTCCCTCTGTATTCTCTACTGTGCATTTGCATAGCAGGTGCGTCCAAATGTGTTCTATCAGAGTCATCTATTCCGAGGAGGACACGAACGTTGTTGCAGCTCATCTATTGCCTATGAGAGAGGGAGTCACTGCCTCTCACTGCAGAAGTCTTCATGCACTGTTAGGTAGCACATCTGCCTTTTTGAGTGTCACACCGAGGTGAGAAATCGAGTGTGCTCGTAGATTTAATACTTCTCTTGGTACCAAAAGAAAATATTGGCCCAGACATCCTTTTATCTTTGAACTGGTCATCTTACTCTAACAAACTCTTTCATTTAACTTAGACCCACTGTATCCCAATACCTAAAGTAGCTCACTTACTGAGTGACAACTGGTATTTCCGACAGTCTCTTCATTCTCCCCAGCATTTAGACAGGGACAGGGAAAGTGTCTTCAGTTTCTTTCAATTAGAGTTAGGAATGAAAATTTATTTGACACTCCTGGCAGAACCCTTTCTTCCAAAAAGCAGACTCTCCTGAAATGTTGGCTGAATGAATGAATGAACTTGGCTTTGCCAGGAATCAAAGAAAAGCTTTGTCAGAAGGAAACACACCAATGTCTGCCAGAAATCTCTGATACCTCTCCCTTGGGGATCCCTCCCCAGCACTGGATTTGGTTGACATGTCCCTCTTGTTCTCCTGCCTTCTCTGTTGAGAGACTCCAGGCTTTGTCTGCATCGTAGAGGTTCTGGTGATCCCCTAGCTAGGGAAGTCCAATGAGGAGCAAATTGTCAGACTGTTTAACCCAATGTCTTACCCCAGACTCCAGAGTCAGCCTACAGCAGTGAGGTTCAAATCCTACAGCAGTGAGGTTCAAATGTTCTATCTATCCAGGGTTCTTTATTAAGGTCTAATGTGACCATGGTGTGAATGGTGAAATATATCATTGATGAAATATTACCACCTAAAAGAGAGGAGTGTTTGGGAAAAGGGTCTGCTAGTGAAAGTTTTGCAGCCACTCATATCCAGGCTCATTTTCTCAAAATTTCAGCGCAGTCACAGACAGGGACAGGTTTTAGGGTTAACTGCCAAATTCAAACATGCCTCTGGAAAGTACATTTCTCTTGGCAGTTTTCATCTCTAGAACGTTGGGTGGGTTCGAGCTGGTCACTGAAACTCTGACATCAACTTATTTAGGAGAAAATGAAGTTGCCGAAATAGATGGTTTCCAAGCTCCAAGCCCCAGCCTATCTTTAAAATGAGAAAATTAAACAATTCTTCCTCATTTTAGTTACTTAGAACACCCACAGGCCATTAAATTTGTGGAATCCATTTTCTCAAAGCTCAGGAGAAAGAGTGGTTACCAGTTGCTTGGTCTTCATTTCTATCTCATTTTGCTTCATTTTGTTTGGTTGTTGGAATCACTTTAGGTTAAGTGGAAAGAGAATTCCTTCCTTTCTGCAATTTAGACTTAGGATTCATCCCTAGCATGTCACTGCAGAATGGTTTGTCTTACCAAAGGGGTCCCCATTCAACAGTGGGGGGAGGTGCGAGGCTAAAGTTGATTAGATTCTATACAGAAGGCATTGATAGGGATCGAGTGACCATTTGTTGAATTGATTTATTCATCTTCCAAATATTTAATCTAGTGTCCCTTAATTGTAGGTCCCGATGAGACAGGAAACAAATATATTCCCCTTGTCAATATCTCCCTAGCTCAATTTCAGGGACTTAATAAACACGCCCCCAAAATATACATTTTGTATTTAGAAATCCAGTGAATTATAAACTATGACAGGCACCCCAGAGTCAGGAGATAGGCATGCAAGTCACAGATCAATGAGCTCTACAGTCACAGAAGACCTGATTTAAGAGTTACCTGAGATGTTTGCCCAGGAACGACAGAAGTCGTATAGCCTCCTAGGGTCTCAGTGTTCCCATCTTTAAAATGGAGAGAAGAATAAGGCACATCTTTAGTGGCTTGGGGCAAATTTCATGATATGGTACTTAGTCTAATACATATCAGCCCTCAGTAAATACGGAAGCGTGTGGAAATCCGTAGAGTAGAAATGGCAGATCCCTGCTTCCAGAACTAGAAGAACCCCTCTTCCTTGAATTGCAATTCCCAATGAGATTTTCAAACAGGAAATCGGCATTTCTCTCCTATTTGTTTCCATGTCCAGTTTTCCAGCACCTAGAGGTGCCTGAGAATGTAAGCCTGGGACAGCCAGAGGTTCCTGACCATGTGCCCATTAGATGTTTCAATGCAACCTGCCCACTCCGTGAGGGAAAGAAATAGGATGCATCAGCACTAGGGATAACATGCTGTGGTGCCCTTACTTTTAACTTAAAAGATATTTATAAGAAAATATTTTCTCTAATCCTGTTGGACAGACCAGACACCCTTTGCCAGAACCATGTTGCATTTTCCAAGAACGCTTGCAAAACCACAGGAGCAATACACTTCCTAGGATACACTCTGGGAAGTACACTTCCCAGGAGGACCTGGGATACACCTCCTGGGATCCACCCTGGAAAGCACACTTGCTGGGACCCCTTCCTCTCTTGCTAGGAATCACGTGTATAAAACCTAAGTTGGGCAAGAGGCCTCAGCCGCTGACAGCTTTCTACCAGTTTCATTTTTTTCCCCTTTATGTTTTGACAGAAAGGGAGCACATACCACCACTCAAATCCCTACCTGTCATCTTTTTGCATCTGTGGGAAATTTAGTCCCACCTGTGTGCAGGCGGGCAAATGGAACTTTAGTAGAATTCAGTCGTTTCTCCAGAATTCACATTTTCAGTAAATGGCAGAGCTAAGGGTTACATTGAAGATGGCCCGATTCAGAATCCTATGTTCTTTCCAGGAATTAATTTCATCTTCCACAGAATAATTTCTGACATTGAAATGAAGCACACGACTGACCTCCCCACCTGCAAAGATTCAGGAAACACATTCTCATTCTATTTCTGAGGGGTTGCTTACTAAAGAATGAATTGATTTTCTTTGAAAACAAAAGTTTTCCCATTATGCTGGATAGAACCATGGTAGGAGACACATAAAGTCTACGATAATTGAGGTACAACTTCCCACAGTGGAATAAATACACAGGTTGCAGTTTTACAGTAGCTGGTGGAAATACCCATGCACTGTTCTAACTGGTGCCACAGTATGGATAAGAGTTGTTTCAGGGTCAGGACGCTAGTACATCTGGGAGGGTATTTGCCTTGCACGTGGCCTTCTTGGGTTCAATCCCTGGTCTCCTCTAGGGTCCTTCAAGCACTGCCAGGAGTAATTCCTGAGTGCAGAGCCAGGGATAACCCCTGAGCATCACCAGGAGTGACCCAAAAAGAAAAGAGTTATTTTAATCTCAGAAAGTTCCCTTGTGCGTGCCTCTCCCACACCTAGGTCCTTTGGATGAATATTTAAATTTCACCTTACAAATCTGTATCTACAGTCCTCTAGTCCTGCCATGCTCGCTGTAGGACTTTCCTGAGAAATTTGATAGCTCTCCACCCTCTTATTAATTGCTATTCCTAGAATAGACCTAAGGAACTAGTTACTGACCTTCATTGTCTTAGGTATTGGGGGACAGAGATAGCCCCCAGGTGTTTCTTGCCTTCAAGACCAGTGGAGACAGATTTGGCCAGGGGAGAAGATGGGGTTAAGATTCTTTGGGTCAGGGATTGAGTTCTGTCTGTCTCCACCTACGCAGGGGAGATGGCCTCATGTTCTGCAGATGCCAGTGAGACTCGGAGCGAGCAGAGGAGCTAACACATCCCGGGCGGGTCCTCCTTAATGTTAACGTTGTCACCCTGCTCCTGTCACTCCAATTTCCCCTCTGCAGTGTGTGATGAGGGTGTACAGTTCACATCCGCAGGGGGAACATGGCAATTTGAGTGTCCTTCGGCACGACTGGGAGGCCAACCAGAAATGTTTAAATGGGGCCGGATCTGTGCCCTGTAATCATTCAGATCACAGACTGTTCCCTGCCTCTGCTCTCAGCTGGCAGCCCGCTCCAGAGCACTAAAAACTGCAGACGTGTTGAGGAGTTGGTCCTTCCCTGGTAGATTCCCAAGGAAGGAAAATGGATGGAGTGGTCCACCTGATTGGCTAGGCCGGCAGCCAATGGGAAGAGGTTGCTGTGCAGACACGTGGGCAGGTTTGCCTCACTTTGAGAAAACCCCATCTTGCAGAGCCATTCTCTGCACCTTTTGTGAAAAGGGTCACCATGGGGCCTGTTATCATTGGCTAGACGGCTCCCTCCCCCAGATTTGTTCTATGCACTAAAACAGAATTCCATGTAGAGAAACATATTTATAACCTGCTTGAGCTGGTAGAACACCTCCATTCTTTAGGAATGGTGACTCTCTGGAGAAACCAAGTCATTCATTAGTTCAGCAATGTTCTGCAAACAAAGATTTTGTGCAGGGGCGGTGGCAGTCGTTGCCCTCCTTTACTGCCCAGCACTCCAAGTTGCAGGTCTCAGAGCCTGGCCCAGCCCTGACGTGGGGGTCTCACAAGGCGCCTGATTCTTTCCAGCGAAATGGGACCCACATTCGTCTATTCTCAACAGAGCATTATCATTAGCCAAAGTGACCTTTTGTAACTCAGAGATTCCTTTCTTTTCTTCGAGGGTTGCAATTTAAATTCATGCCAGAGAATCCTGCCCTTACAGAATGGGAGGCAGCAGCCAGGTCTGTCCCCAGGGACTTCTTTTGATCTTCTGTTGGGTGTTGCTTTCTTGACATGCTCCAAGTCTTGTACAAAATGCTGCTCTCATAATTGCACTGGTCCTGGGGTCTTGCACCTGGTTCTCTGGATCCCCTGGGGCCTGGACCCCTCCTTTCCTTGGAGTCTGCAGATTGCCTGGGGGTAAGGAAAGGGTTCTGTGGAATGGGGGAAACCGTGAAACAGATCAGCATCTCTTGATTATTATTTTTTTAGGAAGTTCTGATGGTGACTGGGCAGTGGCGACACTTAAGTCACCAAAAGGTACCGTATAGATTCTTGTAGCTCTGTCGTCCAGGTGTTGTCAAAGTTGACATTGCTCAGTGCGGGCCCAGTGTGTCCTGGTGTCTGTGTGATCCAGTGCACACGTGTGTCTGTCTTGGGTAGACCTGCAAGTCTGTCTCAGCTCAGTATGTAGGTGTGTATGTGTTTGTGTGTGCGCACTCATGTGCACACAATCATGTAGCTGTGCTGTACTCCAGCGCCAGTTGAAAAACTGTCCTACTCTTCACTTGCCAATATCTGGTGTCTGAAGGAAAATTTTGTGCAGAAAAAAATCCCAGGTAAGAGAAATGGAAAGTTTGACATTTGCTTTTGTGTGCTTGATGACCACCAAAGTGACCCTGAAGGACAAGCTGCTGGTAAGACCTGAACACAGTCAAGTGTTGCTCAACCCACACCTCCCCGCAAAAGACACAATGGGGAAAATGGAAAAAACACATAGTCCATGATTGCAGGGGAAAATCACAACTCCCAAGGGAGAGAGCAACAGAGCTTGTTTGAGTCTTGGGAAGGATCTGCCTTCAGGGGACAGAAGGTGAGTTTGAACTTTCCCAGGGATGTCTGTGAAGCAGCAGAAACCACCACCGTGGTTGACTTGAGTCTAGGGTAGGGGATCCACTAGCTGGGTGAGAGGGTCTGAAGGTAACTCCCCTCTCTACTATGTACCTGATAAAAGGCCAGGAGCTTCACTCATCTCTCTTCACATCATCTTCTCACTGAATTCTCCAGGGACCATGCAGGGTAGTTATTGTCATTGCCATTTAGAGATGGTGACATGGCATTTGATGGAAGATAATTCTTGCTTGTTTATATTCATATGCCTGCAAAGTGGCAGGGGAACAATTTGAACCCATTCTGTCTGCCTGTCTGTCTGGCTCCAAGGTTGTTAATCCCCCTGGGGTGCTCAGGGAACAGTTCTTTCTGGGACAGACCAGAAACTTGATTCTTTACTTCACTTCTGTGCTTTGTTGGATTTGGAGGTAGGAAGGATGTAACTGACTCAAGCAGGTGAAGAGGTGGGGAGTGCATTTGAGTGACTTGAACTGGAACCAATGAGAAGATGAGACAGATTTCTAGGCAGGATACTTGGCATGGCCAATTTTGTTCTCATTAAAGATCGTTCTGGATACCAGGTAAAAACTGGATTTGAGGGAGGATAGACTGGAATTAGGGACACCAATTGGGGGTTCTTGCAGTCATCCCAGGGAGCCGAGTCCCACAGTGGGGTGGGTAGAGGATGGAGAAATGACAATGGACATATGGGTCTGTAAGAAACTGAGAAGGCAGGGCTGGAGAGATAGTTAGCATGTAGGACACTTGGCTAGCACAGAGCCAACCCAGTTTGATTCCTGGTACCCCATATGGTCCCTCTGTGGAGCATGGTGACAGGCACTGGAGCAGATGAGACCCGACCTTGCAAAGCAGCTCAGAAGCGAAGGCTCACAAGAGGGAGTATCTGGGGAAAGTTGGCAAGAACAGGCTGTCAGCCAGCACCAGGTGTCCAGCCTTGAGCCTCACTCGACCTCCTAGTCACATAAGCCCTAGATACAGAAACTGTCATGTACGCTTAGCAACTCATCCTAACTATAACATCTAACCTTGATTGGGATTGGACTGGGGCAAAGCAGACCTGGAGAGGTGATAGGTCAACAATACTGAACTTCATGTGATTGGACTTTCTTGTAAGCTGAGACCCTCTATAAAAGATGTGTGTATTTGGCAATAAGGTGAACAGCCATCAGCTGCTCCCAGAGGGTGTTTCTCCATGTGCCCATCATCCTTCGCCCCATGTCTGCCTGGACCCGGTGCACAACGTGTCCAGGTACATTGGGGAAAACTGTTTCCCAACATCCCTCGAACCCTGCCAGGAGTGATCCCTGAGTGCACAGCCAGGAGTAGTTCCTGAGCACTACTGGGTGTGGGCCCCCAACTATAGCACTGTATAGCACTGTCCTCCCGTTGTTCATCGATTTGCTCGAGCGGGCCCAGTAACGTCTCCATTGTGAGACTTGCTGTTACTGTGTTTGGCATATTGAATATGTCACGGGTAGCTCTCGGAGAGCCGGGCAAGCTACCGAGAGTATCTTGCCCACACGGCAAAGCCTGGCAAGCTACCCGTGATGTATTCAATATGCCAAACACAGTAACAACAAGTCTCACAATGGAGACGCTACTGGGCCCGCTCAAGCAAATCGATAAACAACGGGAGAACAGTGCTATACAGTGCTAGTGGTCCCCAATGGAAAACAAACAAAATAAAACAGAAACTATTAGTACAGGGAGTAAGTGCAGGAGGGCAGGAAGTCTGGAGCAGAAAGCCAGTTCTTTTCTCAGCCTTGAACCTTACATCGTGAGCTCCTCCTGAAGGGTTGTTCAAACCGAGATTCCAAAGCCAAACTCCCAAGTTGCTGAGTCATGGGGCTTTGAGATGGCATGGACTGTCAACAGGTTCCCTGCCAGGGTAGTGCTTCCGTTTTGGGGACCATGCTCTGAAAACTGCCCCAGTAGGAAAGTCTTCCTGGATAACGAAGACCCTTTGATTGGGTCTCTCCATGTCTTTCTTTGGTGTGAAGGTTCTGAAGAGGGTTATCTGCTCAGGGTCTCAGAGTCTCAGAGGCCCCCTGTTTTCTGTGGGTGCAGGAGATGTGAGGTTGTACTGGGTCTCCACCAAGAGGCCCCTAATTACCAGCTTACTGTCTCGAGAGAGGCAACTTTCCAGGTCTTGTGTTAGAGAATAACTCTTCACATGGTATTGTCCATTTTTAGAAAAGCAAACAATGTGCAATGTGACAGACCTACTAACTTGAGGCACGTATTCCCCCCCCCCCCCCGGTAAAAAAACAGACATTGTGATTCCCGTGATAGTGTCAGGGGACAGTCAGCAATTTCCTTCTACCCGCATGTTGTTGGCTGTTGCATTTGGAAACCATTTCAAGGTGGGCAAAAAAACGAGGTCTATTCTTCAAACCAGAGCTGGGCTAGCTCTACCCACTTCCCTTGCTCTATGTGTCTTGATATGCACAGCTTTGTCCAAAAAGATAAAAGGGTCTGAGAGAAGGCAAACCCAAGTTCCCCAGGGTGGTTGTGCCTCTTCAGGTGCTCTCTCTCCAGCCTCTGTGAGTCTCTGTGAGGATGGGGTTGCAGTGGGGACTTGAATGGCCCCAAACTTCCACCTCCTGCCATCTTTTTTTTGGGGGGGGGTAATAGCCACACGCAGGGGTGCTCAAGACTTTCTCCTGGCTCTGAGTTCAGTGATTAAAGGCTTGGAGGACCATATGGGGTGCTGGGGATCAAATACGGGTTGGTCATATGCAAAGCGAATGCCCTCTCTACTGTCCTATTGCTCCTTCAGAGACTTTAGATGTCACTTATCTCTCAGAAGGATGGACTATTATCTTAACGGGATGCAGGGTACCAAGGATGGACTATTATCCCAGGATGTAGGGTACCAAGATTTCTGGAAAACCATGTTGGGTAGAAGTGGAGAAGAAAGAGGAGTTGCTTCCCAGGACAAGGGACAAGGGCCTTGAAGACACCAGGTTCCCGCTGCCACCTGAACTGATAGAACTCAATTCTGATGGGGGGGATCCCTAACTGCTACAGATGAAGTGGTAACAAACCTACAGGTTGGCTCCACTTTAGGGTCCCGTGTAGGGCGCCCCCTAGTGGTCATTGTTGTTGCTGCACTCCTGACCAGTTCCAAGATGGAAGCCAGTACCTTGTTATGTAATTCCCACATCAGAAGAAGTTCGATGTTGTTTGCCGGAGGAGGCAGGTGGAGGTGGTTTGTGTCACACTAAGGGATGCTCAGGGGGCCATTTCCGGCTCTGTGTTCAGAAGTGGCCCCTGGAAGTGCTCAGGGGATCAAACCTAGATCAGATTTGTGTGTGCCAGGCAAGTGCCTTGACCCCTGGATTGGCTCATTGACTCTTCAACTAAAGTTTAGGTCAACATTTTTTTCTAATGGATTATGGGTACTAAAGCCGGTGTCCCTGTGCTATTCTCCAAATGTGAGTGATTACTTTTGTTGCTTGCAGAAATCAGACTGTTTTCTAGGTTGGGACTACAGCTAGTGGTAGAATGCTCAGTGGGCCATTGTACGGGTCCGGTGTCCTGCTCTAACTGTGGTTTGGAGTAATGTGGTAGCCAAACTGAGAGAGTGATTCACATTTGTCATAAAAATGAAAATAAAAAGCATTACTTGTTTGTTCCCTTTCTTTGAGAGTGTTTAAGTGTACATGAAATGTCTGAGAAAGTGTCTAGTAAATAATAGATACTGAATAAATCCTTGTTACTTTCCCCCTAAGACAGTTGATATAGTTTGGGAATAAATGTCCATCTAAGAGTTGCCCATAAGGCACAAGATAAAAACAAATATGTGATGTGGGTGGGTGAGGGGTCTGTTGGACTAACTAAAAGCAGCTTTAAAATATGACTTTACAGGCTGGAGTGATAGTACAGCGGGGAGGGCGTTTACTTTGTATGGAAACAACCTGGACTGAATTCCCGGCATCCCATAGGGTTCTCCAAGCACAACCAGGAGTAATTTCTGAGTGCAAATCTAGGAGTACTGCCTGAGCCAGGAGCATCTCTGAGTACTACTGTGTGTGAACTGTCACAGTCACTGACACTGTCCTCCCGTTGTTCATCGATTTGCTCGAGCGGCCCAGTAACATCTCCACTGTGAGACTTTGTTGTTACTGTGTCTGGCATATCGAATACGTCACGGGTAGCTTGCCAGGCTTTGCCGTGCGGGCAAGATCCTCTCGGCAGCTTGCTGGGCTCTCCGAGAGAGGCGGAGGAATCGAACTCAGGTCGGCCATGTTGGCTGCGTGCAAGGCAAATGTGCAAGGCAAATGTGCAAGGCAAATAGCCCGCTGTGCTATTGCTCAACAACAACAAAAAAAGCAAAACATATGATTCTTAAGGGCTGAATCGATAGTATAGTAGGTAGGGTGTTTACCTTGCACGAGGCTGACTTG